CCGTCTCTTTGTAGTATCGTATTCTGTCTATGAACATGTACCATGGTGACCTAATTTAGCTGTTCTTCTCTGGAAGTGAACATGTTGGCGAACAATAATAACAATAACAATAGCGTTCATGAATCCGACGTTAATACGTAACAGGTTGGAGAGTTCCTAATTTGTGTAAGATTTCCTGTGTACAATACATTCGATATGAGGGCAGGTTTTTATTGGAAGTTTCGTCATCTTTCTTTTCTGATCTGGTCTCTACCAATCTTGGCCAATGATCAATTACTCAAACAGCATCTCAGGACATACAGTATATTTTTGTACCAGACATGTAATCTGTACTGTTGGCATATTCTGATGAAACTTTGTACAGTAGAGGGTTTTTATCAACTAACAACCAATTTATTTGTAGTTTCTTTATTTAAGAAAAATTAATACACGGGGACATATAGAAATCGATTATTGAAGGCCACATCTGCTTTAATATATTTTCTTTGACAAAGAATATTACTGATTTTGTCCGTTAAACACACAGATAAAACATTTGAACATGAGCATTCATTGAAATACCATTACGTTCTAACACAAAGTACAGGCCCGTCTCTTATCTTGTATAATCTTAAAGACACGACATATATATCATACCTTAGGTTTTACTTATTGGTTCAAATCTATCGTATTTCGACGACTAATTGAATGAGTGTGTCATTTTCTGACCAGTCTGTCTTTTCATTGATGTATTGTCTAGTTTAAATGGACTGAAGGTAGTGATAATGACAGAATCGATTGTCATGCACACTGGTAAGTATTCCACAGCTTGTTTTTGTATTGCTAAATTGTTGTGGTTTAAACTATCATGCCTGGCAGACTAAATATGCGTTAATATTTGTTAAACAGACTTATTGTTTGTACACAAACATATTCTGATGTACAGTCATATGTATCAATTACTAGGATTTTATTATCATATTATTTACAATGAAAACAATTTTTTGCACAACAATAAAAGCCTAGGAATGCTAAACTGACATGGACACCTTTCCCACTAAATTGTCCTATCTTTTATACAGAACATGATTTATAATCAGCCATGTGTACCGAGTCCTTCATTTGTCACTAGTTTTACTATCTCGGTTTCTTTGCCTATAAAGATTAAGACGATATCTATAATTATCGCGTGCCCCATGTTATTGTCATTGCCATGGTTTCTACTTCATTTACATGGCATTACAGACTTGATCAAGAGATTTACATGTTCGGTGTTTGTTGTTGAAATAATTTGATACCTTTAAGTCGTATTACATAACAGAATGGGTCATTTAATGTGATAATAGGGCTTGATTCAAAACTTTTCCTTTATTCAGTTTGTTACTGTGCTTTCATCTCTTGTTATTTTCGTGTAGTTGTCAAGTCAAACTTATTGTCCGCAAATATAAAGAAAATACCAACATGTCCAAAAAATAATATTCAAATTTGATAAAATTAAAGCAGAATATTACCAAAAGAAAGCTTTACACGGAGACATTGAATAGGTACAAGGAGAATAAGACCAGCTGTCTAACTTCTAACTTCATTTCGCACAAGGAAACAGAATATTTCCCAATTATATCATGAGGACACCATAAAACTTCTCCAATTTTTAATAGACCTCCATGTCTGAAAATCCTGTTAGTTTATGTCAGTTGTCTACACTCTGCATGAGAATTGTGATACGGGGAGCAGGCTCTTGAATATTGAATCAAATTGTGACATGCAAACACTATTGGATGAGAAAGCATGACTGTTGCTGTCCAGAAACAGAAAATTCACAAGAGGAATGTTTTCATCATACAGCTTACTGGAAAGCTGTTCCTATATGTTTCGTTAAAGAAAAAGATAGAGGTTATAGGCTGTTGAACTATCTCTGTTGTCCTTGTTTCCAGTTTTGGTGAGAATGTATGATGGGATTGCTGAAAAGTCAGTCCGGAGGGAGAGTTTGTCCCCTTAAATATACCATTAGTCGGTTTTACCATGAAAGACAAAAAATATAGTGAACCAGAAATGTGTTTGTATTTGCAACTGACAAGATCTAGTTCTGCTTGATAAGCAAGGGAATCCTATTTGCATGTTATCCAATTTTTCTATAAACACAGTACCTGATAACTATTCTCCAGTAATGCAATCTGAAACATACTCAACAAAAAAAGGAAGGTTAACATGTTTCCTTGGCGAATACCTGTAAATGAGTGAAAACGAAATGACGTTTGTGCAATTTTAGAAAATGGTAATGTTTTACATTACAAAATCCAAGGGGGTTACCAAAATCATTCAAGCGTGAAAGTCTGTATTAGCGAAAGAGCTGCACGAGACTTTCTGCGACTAACTTATATCTTCGCTTGAATTTCATAAACATTCAAACTGACAACTGTTCCTTAGATCCTTAGGACTTAGAAATCACCGAATCTTGCTATCTATCAACTTTATCATTATGCCCCGGCTGTCACAAGTACAGAGAGAAAGGACTGTAGGCATGATCCAGGCTGGGGAGTCTCGCCGTCGAGTTGCACGGCATTTTGGTTGCAGTGTTAAGACAATATGCCAGTTGGTAAGTCGTTTAAACCAAACTGGGTCAACATCCGATCGTCCCCGAAGCGGCCGACCCCGTAAAACGACCGCCAGGGATGACCGTCGTATACGATTGATACACTTGCACAATCGATTCGTAACCGCAGTAGAGACTACAAGGATATTGTTTGGGCGTCGTGTGTCTCCCCAAACAGTCCGCAACAGGTTGAGGGCCTACCAATTGAAAGCGCGGCGTCCCTACACTGGACCCAATTTGTTGCGACGCCACCGTAATAATCGGCGTAACTGGACCCGTGTTCACCGTCGTTGGGCCTTACGACAATGGAACAATGTTCTGTTTTCAGATGAGTCCAGGTTTTGTCTGCAACACGGTGACGGAAGGCGCAGAGTGTGGAGGCGACGAGGGGAGCGTTTTGCGAACTGCTGCGTCGCAGAACGGGACCGCTTTGGCGGCGGAAGTGTAACGGTTTGGGGTGGTATTTGTGGGGGGACTCGTACCAGGCTTGTTGTGTTAAATGGCAATTTAACCGGCATTCGATATCGGGACGAAATTTTAAGACCAGTGGTTCTGCCATTCTTAAGACGCCATGGCGTTGGCGCCATTTTTTTTAACAGGATGACGCACCAGCGCACACCAGTCGCGTCAGCAGAACTTTCTTGCAACAGAATAACGTACAGGGGTTAGATTGGCCATCTAAATCACCTGATTTGTCACCGATTGAGTATGTCTGGGACGGTCTTGGGCGACGCGTGAGAGAACGTCAAAATCAGCCGTCAAACTTGCAGGAGCTGGCCCAAGCCTTGATCGCTGAATGGAACATCTCTCCTCGAATTATCCGCCGGTTTACGAGTTCCATGCGACGACGCTGCAATGCTGTTTACTTCGCAAACGGTGGTCATACCCGTTACTAATGGTGTTGCCTTTGAAATTGACCCCAACGTCTTTTACAGTCGAATAAAATCAACTGAACGCAAAGTTTTATAATGAACCATGACTGCAGTTTTATCAGAATTGATCAATTACTTTATTCGTACATGATTGGAAGGATTTATGATGGGGTTAATTAATTAATCACAGAATAAAGTAGTGTTACCTTTCTTTTTTTGTTTAGTATAGTATCTGTTGTCTTTACAGACCTTCCTCGTTTATATTTGAATAGCAAACATTCCCTATTACTGATTCTGCTAGTTCACTTAAATCTTTCCACTAGTTCCACATTACCAATCTTACTACCAACACATGTAACTCTCTTACTGTGAAGCTATAGGCCTATACTTCAGAAATGGAATTTACAGACAGACTTATCAGGACAAACTCTTGCTGTCTAATGAAAAATCATGACCTTACATTTTCCAGTTCTGCTACGGTTTTATGGTCTTTTCTGCTTATAAACTTTGTAGAACTGCTAAACAATTAGCTACCATTACTGACCAGATATATATCTAACCATTCTCCTCACTCCACCTTACTGACCAGATATATATCTAACCAGTCTCCTGTCTCCACCTTACTGACCAGATATATATCTAACCATTCTCCTCTCTCTACCATATTGACCAGATATATATCTAAATATTCTCCTCACTCCACCATACTGACCAGATATATATCTAAATATTCTCCTCTCGCTAACATACTGACCAAATATATATCTAACCAGTCTCCTCTCTCCACCTTACTGACCAGATATATATCTAAATATTCTCATCACTCCACCATATTGACCAGATATATATCTAACCATTCTCCTCATTCCACCTTACTGACCAGATATATATATAACCAGTCTCCTCTCTCCACCTTACTGACTAGATCTATATCTAATATTCTCCTCACTCCACCATATTGACCAGATATATATCTAACCATTCTCCTCACTCCACTATACTGACCAGATATATATCTAAACATTCTCCTCTCTCTAACATACTGACCAAATATATATCTAACCAGTCTCCTCTCTCCACCTTACTGACCAGATATATATCTAAATATTCTCCTCACTCCATCATACTGACCAGATATATATCTAACCATTCTCCTCTCTCCACCCAATCTTTTACAAATTTCTTTTAAACCAGATAATTCTTACTTCTGTCCAAAGAGTTCTTAGAAATCAGGAATTCATCCATCAAAGAAATTGTCCCAGAATAATGTGATGGTTTAACCACTATGGCACCTATACTAAAGGTCTGAGGTCACATCTATTTTAATTCTAGACAGCAAGCTTCCAGCCATACTGTTTGATCCTTCATATTTGTTCGCCATGAATTCCAAAGTATGCATCATCTTTTCAAAACTGTGTCTGGCTTATAAAAGAAAGTTATACATGAATATCATGGTCCTGTTTCCCCTTTATTTCAAGGTAAAACATTTATGGGGAGAAAGACAGATGATGTATGAAAGAAATTCTTCACTAGTAAATACAAAATAAACATCAAAACAATTTTTGACATCATTTTATATCTTTTATTATGAAATGAAAAAGCTGTGTATTTTTTTTTTTATAAATTAAAGTCCTGTAGTCCTTTCATGATAGGAATAATGTAATCAATATCACATCAAGTCACATCACACTGTTCAGGTCAACTTCATCACTGGGTAGACTTTATGTTGACTGAAATCAAAGTCTGGCGGCTCCTGCAGTATATAAAACATATATAAAATATATTAAAAATGAGGATTTAAACAGACTTAATGGTTAGATTTTCATTTTATAACTGATGAAAAGCATTATAACATGTAAATATCTGTTAAAAGCTGTGCACTTTCTGTTAATCATGATGTTATGTTACATCATCATTTTATACCAATAAAAATAAGGTCAAAAAATTAAAATGAAATAGTAGCAACCCAATACTAATTCATATCATTTTAGTTTTGAGAGTGTAAACAATGTCTAAACACACGTAAATTTAGAAATCATAAGAAAGCACAGGCTTAAAACGAGGTTCCGAAAGGTCACATGATGAACTCAGCTATCTGCGATCAAACAACAGATGGCAGTAGACACAACAGTGTTCACCAGTGTTAGCTTGAAGCTGATAATCTTTTTCAATTTTTCTCAAAAAGTGCTTTAGTTTGGTGAATACTCTACTGTAATTTTTAGTATTACAATGCTTGCCTGGAATCAAACATCAAAAATATCAAAATCTAACTATTCAGTCCCTTTAATAGATTTTAAAAACGGAACACGTATTACATATTTCAAGTCATGTTTAAACTAGAATAAATATATAAGACAAAATGCCTATACACCACAGCAAAACTGATAGTGACATTAATATGGAATAGGACAGAACAGCCAGACATGACTGGCACTACCTGTCACCAATGCAGTGGCAAGAAAACATGTTTTAAGTTTTATGAAACTAGAGTAAGTCTATAAGACAAAAAGCCTATACACCACAGCAAACCTGATAATGACAGGGCATTAATTCAGGATAGTATAGGACAGCCAGACATGAGTAGCCCTAGATGTCACCCAATAAAATGGCAGGGCATGAAAATGTGGCAGAAATTCCTCAGAGAAAAGTCATTATATAGAATGTCCTTAAGTAGCTTTGTAGGTATCCAAATTATATGATACCACACTTATTACCAATCTATTGTTATAAAGCCAAGATACCCTTTAGATCCATCTCCAGGTAAAAGTAAGGACAACTTATAGACTATTTCAGTGCCCGAGATTAACAAAGAGTGTGAATAGAAAATGAACATAATGTAGTATGAATGTTACAAACATGTGTCACAGCCATATTTAAAGATTCATAGACACTGAAAAGGTTTATATAAGCTTCATCTGAAACACTGAATTAAGTCTAGATCAGAAATACTCAAATCAGATAACTTTAAGACATGACCTGATTAAATATGGAGATAACTTTAAATAGGACTTACATTACTATCTTTCTTATGTCCTCCCATCAACAACTTCATAACCACAAAGTTAGTCTTGGCAACTTTGATTAATGTCTGAATCTGAAAAAATCAGTATTTATATGTCAACATCAAACATAACAATATCAATGAAAATGTTCAGAATTTATTTGTTATTTATAACCAAAAAAATTGATATTCTGTCATTTTACTGGTGAAATATAATATTCAATGGTGAAATAAAATATTCAATGGGAAATCAATATTAGGTGTTTTTTTTTTTTCAATTCAAAACAAGATAAAACAAAACACAAAGCAAGCTAGTCTGTGCTATAAAAAAAATAACTATGGAAAACATTTAAAGTTTTGTTTTGTTTAAAGGTTATGATGCTATGTATGACAAGACAGTGCTACTTTGAAAAATACCAAAGTACACAGAATTAACAAAATAAACACCATTCTTATTTGTCATCATTGGAAAAGTTACATGATCACTAGATTATGTAACTGAAGATTTTTTAATATCATGACCAAGAGATGATTTTATCAACAGACAATTTTCACTGACAGAAATGTCATAAAATAAATGTATCTACCTCCTCATTGGTGGAGGACAAACTCTCAAGAAGTGTTTTGGCTTGGTGGAAACATTTACATGATGCTGTGTACAAACTCTGGGCTGAGGCCTCCGGCTCATATCGCTTCAAGTCTGACATTTCCTGGAATTGAAAGAACAAGCAAACAGATTACAGGCCTTTAATTCTCACTTGATGGTTCACATAATCAATAACAGTTCTTATATAATTTATCATGGATATACATAAATATGAAGGCTACTTATTAAATTCTAACTCTGTCAAAGAATAATGCTATTTGGCCTATCTGTTTCCATGGCAACAGGAGCCTTATCTGATTTCTGATATCCCCCCCCCCAAAAAAAAGGAGAATAATTTAACAAAAGACCAAGGTCCTCCTTGGTTAATAATGCTATTTGGCCTATCTGTTTCCATGGCAACAGGAGCCTTATCTGATATCTGATATCCCCCCCCCAAAAAAGGAGAATAATTTAACAAAAGACCAAGGTCCTCCTCGGTTAATAATGCTATTTGGCCTATCTGTTTCCATGGCAACAGGAGCCTTATCTGATATCTGATATCCCACCCCCAAAAAAGGAGAATAATTTAACAAAAGACCAAGGTCCTCCTTGGTTAATAATGCTATTTGGCCTATCTGTTTCCATGGCAACAGGAGCCTTATCTGATATCCACCCCCCAAAAAAGGAGAATAATTTAACAAAAGACCAAGGTCCTCCTTGGTTAATAATGCTATTTGGCCTATCTGTTTCCATGGCAACAGGAGCCTTATCTGATATCCCCCCCAAAGGGGGAATAATTTAACAAAAGACCAAGGCCCTTCTTGGTTAATAATGCTATTTGGCCTATCTGTTTCCATGGCAACAGGAGCCTTATCTGATATCCCCCCCCAAAAAAAAGGAGAATAATTTAACAAACGACCAAGGTCCTCCTTGGTTAATAATGCTATTTGGCCTATCTGTTTCCATGGCAACAGGAGCCTTATCTGATATCCCCCCCCAAAAAGGAGAATAATTTAACAAAAGACCAAGGTCCTCCTTGGTTAATAATGCTATTTGGCCTATCTGTTTCCATGGCAACAGGAGCCTTATCTGATATCCCCCCCCAAAAAAAAGGAGAATAATTTAACAAACGACCAAGGTCCTCCTTGGTTAATAATGCTATTTGGCCTATCTGTTTCCATGGCAACAGGAGCCTTATCTGATATCTGATATCCCCCCCCCAAAAAAAAGGAGAATAATTTAACAAAAGACCAAGGTCCTCCTTGGTTAATAATATCCACCCCCCAAAAAAGGAGAATAATTTAACAAAAGACCAAGGTCCTCCTATTTGGCCTATCTGTTTCCATGGCAACAGGAGCCTTATCTGATATCCCCCCCCCAAAAAAAAGGAGAATAATTTAACAAAAGACCAAGGTCCTCCTTGGTTAATAATTCTATTTGGCCTATCTGTTTCCATGGCAACAGGAGCCTTATCTGATATCCCCCCCCAAAAAAAGGGGAATAATTTAACAAAAGACCAAGGTCCTGATTGATCTACGAATCAGGTAACTATTGCTCTATCCCTAAACCATACACATCCCATGTAGTTGTTTCACATACATCTTACATCATTGTTCTAAAGAAAGGTCATCGATGTTCACAAGTCAAATTTGTAGTGAATGTTTGTCAATGACATGCATCTTATATACCAGTAAACAAAGGTCATAGATTGGTCCTCAATGTAAATGGATGTAAAATACTTTTAATCGTTAAGACATTCTAAAAGGTCCAAATATAGGTTAGACACCACAGGTCAAATATCCAGATTATATAGGGTCTGTTCTTGACAAGAATCTATACACTACAAATCACTAGATATAAGTCTGGTTTACATTAAAACTCACTAGATATAAGTCTGGATTACACTATAACTCACTAGATATAAGTCTGGTTTACACTATAACACACTAGATATAAGTCTGGTTTACACTACGTCTCACTAGATATAAGTCTGGTTTACACTATAACTCACTAGATATCAGTCTGGGTTACACTATAACTCACTAGATATCAGTCTGGGTTACACTATAACTCACTAGATATAAGTCTGGTTTACACTATAACTCACTAGATATAAGTCTGGGTTACACTATAACTCACTAGATATAAGTCTGGTTTACACTATAACTCACTAGATATAAGTCTGTTTACACTATAACTCACTAGATATAAGTCTGGGTTACACTATAACTCACTAGATATAAGTCTGGTTTACACTATAACTCACTAGATATAAGTCTGTTTACACTTTAACTCACTAGATATAAATCTGGTTTACACTATAACTCACTAGATATAAGTCTGGTTCACACTAGATATAAGTCTGGTTTACACTATAACTCACTAGATATAAGTCTGGTTTACACTATAACTCACTAGATATAAGTCTGGTTTACACTATAACTCACTAGATATCAGTCTGGTAAACACTATAACTCACTAGATATAAGTCTGGTTTACACTATAACTCACTAGATATAAGTCTGGGTTACACTATAACTCACTAGATATAAGTCTGGGTTACACTATAACTCACTAGATTTAAGTCTGGGTTACACTGTAACTCACTAGATATAAGTCTGGGTTACACTATAACTCACTAGATATAAGTCTGGGTTACACTATAAATCACTAGATATAAGTCTGGTTTACACTATAACTCAATAGATATAAGTCTAGTTTACACTATAACTCACTAGATATAAGTCTGGTTAACACTATAACTCACTAGATATAAGTCTGGTTTACACTGTAACTCACTAGATATAAGTCTGGTTTACACTATAACTCACTAGATATAAGTCTGGTTTACACTACGTCTCACTAGATATAAGTCTGGTTTACACTATAACTCACTAGATATAAGTCTGGTTTACACTATAACTCACTAGATATAAGTCTGGTTTACACTATAACTCACTAGATATAAGTCTGGTTTACACTATAACTCACTAGATATAAGTCTGGTTTACACTATAACTCACTAGATATAAGTCTGGTTTACACTATAACTCACTAGATATCAGTCTGGATTACACTATAACTCACTAGATATAAGTCTGGTTCACACTAGATATAAGTCTGGTAAACACTTTAACTTACTAGATTTAAGTCTGGTTTACACTATAAATCACTAGATATAAGTCTGGGTTACACTATAACTCACTAGATATATGTCTGGTTTACACTATAAATCACTAGATATAAGTCTGGTTTACACTATAACTCAATAGATATAAGTCTAGTTTACACTATAACTCACTAGATATAAGTCTGGTTAACACTATAACTCACTAGATATAAGTCTGGGTTACACTGTAACTCACTAGATATAAGTCTGGTTTACACTATAACTCACTAGATATAAGTTGGGGTTACACTATAACCCACTAGATATAAGTCTGGGTTACACTATGACTCACTAGATATAAGTCTGGTTTACACTATAACTCACTAGATATAAGTCTGGTTTACACTATAACTCACTAGATATAAGTCTGGTTTACACTATAACTCACTAGATATAAGTCTGGTTTACACTATAACTCACTAGATATAAGTCTGGTTTACACTATAACTCACTAGATATAAGTCTGGTTTACACTATAACTCACTAGATATAAGTCTGGTTTACACTATAACTCACTAGATATAAGTCTGGTTTACACTATAACTCACTAGATATAAGTCTGGATTACACTATAACTCACTAGATATAAGTCTGGTTCACACTAGATATAAGTCTGGTAAACACTTTAACTCACTAGATTTAAGTCTTGGTTACACTGTAACTCACTAGATATAAGTCTGGTTTACACTATAACTCACTAGATATCAGTCTGGGTTACACTATAACCCACTAGATATAAGTCTGGGTTACACTATGACTCACTAGATATAAGTCTGGTTTACACTATAACTCACTAGATATAAGCCTTGTTTACACTATAACTCACTAGATATATGTCTGGTTTACACTATAACTCACTAGATATAAGTCTGGTTTACACTATAACTCACTAGATATAAGTCTGGTTTACACTATAACTCACTAGATATAAGTCTGGTTTACACTATAACTCACTAGATATAAGTCTGTTTTACACTATAACTCACTAGATATCAGTCTGGGTTACACTATAACTCACTAGATATAAGTATGGTTTACACTATAACTCACTAGATATAAGTCTGGTTTACACTATAACTCACTAGATATAAGTCTGGGTTACACTGTAACTCACTAGATATAAGTCTGGTTTACACTATAACTCACTAGATATAAGTCTAGTTTACACTATAACTCACTAGATATATGTCTGGTTTACACTATAAATCACTAGATATAAGTCTGCTTTACACTATAACTCACTAGATATAAGTCTGGTTTACACTATAACTCACTAGATATAAGTCTGTTTTACACTATAACTCACTAGATATAAGTCTGTTTTACACTATAACTCACTAGATATAAGTCTGGGTTACACTTTAACTCACTAGATTTAAGTCTGGGTTACACTGTAACTCACTAGATATAAGTCTGGTTTACACTATAACTCACTAGATATAAGTCTGGTTTACACTATAACTCACTAGATATAAGTCTGGGTTACACTATAACACACTAAATATAAGTCTGGTTTACACTATAACTCACTAGATATAAGTCTGGATTACACTAGAACTAGTTTACCTTGTACTGGGCGTAGTGTATATATGGTGGCGTAGACACAGTTGTGAAGGGGAGGAAACGATGGGAATACTGCACCTCCTCACTGTCAAACTCAAAGGATGGATACACTAACTTTCCATCCAGTCTCAGCCCCAGCACTGCCTGTTAGATATATATATATGTATAGTAACTCTGAAATATCATAAAGCTTTATCAAAACCTGAAAAAAGGAACAGTATAACACTATGTTGTAAAATTATCTATGTATTTATGTTGCTTTATAAGTAAAAGTAAAATCTAAAAGGATTGAATACAATGAAACATACAGCAAACCACTTGTTTCAGGTCGATATCCTCATGTCTCAGACACAAGTGAAAGAGTTTACTAATATGACGTTACATTTCAGTAACCTCCAAACATATGTTGTTCTGTATATTACTGAGTTATCTGCCCTTACAATATAATAACCTCCAAACATATGTTGTTCTGTATTTGACACATTTATCTGTCCTTACATTATAATAACCTCCAAACATATGTTGTTCTGAATATGACTGAGTTATCTGTCCTTACCTTATAGTAACCTCCAAACATAGGTTGTTCTGTATATGACACAGTAATCTGCCCTTACCTTATAGTAACCACCAAACATAGGTTGTTCAGTATATGACACAGTAATCTGCCCTTACATTATAATAACCTCCAAACATATGTTGTTCTGTATATGACAGTTATCTGCCCTTACATTATAATAACCTCCAAACATATGTTGTTCTGTATATGACTGAGTTATCTGCCCTTACATTATAATAACCTCCAAACATATGTTGTTCTGTATATAACACAGTAATCTGCCCTTACCTTATAGTAACCTCCAAACATATGTTGTTCTGTTTATAACACAGTAATCTGCCCTTACCTTATAGTAACCACCAAACATATGCTGTTCTGCTTGTGCCATACTAATTTCTCTGTTCAATGTCTTTGTCCTCTTTCTCTTTTTGTTTTTCTTGTTGTTTCGCCCTTTCTGCTGATTGTCTAGAAACGATGTTAACAACGAAAATTACAAAAAACAATTTTATTACTAATGAAACCTGAAGAACGGCCATTAGAAAACCTGATACTAACCAGATGATGTTATAATAACAATATTCTGTCTCTGATTCTCTATTTACAATGTTGTACAGTATGGTAGTACAGAACCCTACAATTCATAATGCTAGACTCTGATACAAATTGTTAAAAAATCCAATTAATAAAGGAATCATCCTTCATTTATGGATCTAGCAGCATATCTCCAAGTTCAATCCCAATCTATGTCATGCTTTAGACCCTATGTCATACTTTAGACACTATGTAATGCTTTAGACCCTATGTCATGCTCTAGACCCTATATCATGCTTTAGACCCTATGTAATGCTCTAGACCCTATGTCATGCTTTAGACCCTATGACATGTTTTAGACCCTATGTCATGTTCTAGACCCTATGTCATGCTTTAGACCCTATGACATGTTTTAGACCCTATGTCATGTTCTAGACCCTATGTCATGCTCTAGACCCTATGTCATGTTCTAGACCCTATGTCATGCTCTAGACTCTATGTCATGCTCTAGACCCTATGTCATGTTTTAGACCCTATGTCATGTTCTAAACCCTATGTCATGCTCTTGACCCTATGTCATGCTTTAGACCCTATGACATGTTTTAGACCCTATGTCATGTTCTAGACCCTATGTCATGCTCTAGACCCTATGTCATGTTCTAGACCCTATGTCATGCTTTAGACCCTATGTCATGTTCTAGACCCTATGTCATGCTCTAGACCCTATGTCATGTTCTAGACCCTATGTCATGTTCTAGACCATATGTCATGCTCTAGACCCTATGTCATGTTCTAGACCCTATGTCATGCTTTAGACCCAATGTCATGTTCTAGACCCTATATCATGCTTTAGACCCTATGTCATGTTCTAGACCCTATGTCATGCTCTAGACCCTATGTCATGTTCTAGACCCTATGTCATGCTCTAGACCCTATGTCATGCTTTAGACCCTATGACATGTTTTAGACCCTATGTCATGTTCTAGACCCTATGTCATGCTTTAGACCCTATGTCATGTTCTAGACCCTATGTCATGCTCTAGACCATATGTCATGTTCTAGACCCTATGTCATGCTCTAGACCATATGTCATGCTCTAGACCCTATGTCATGTTCTAGACCCTATGTCATGCTTTAGACCCAATGTCATGTTCTAGACCCTATGTCATGGACCCTATGTCAAATACCCTATGTCAAAATGTCAATAGACCCTATGTCATGCTTTAGACCCTATGTTATGCTCTAGAAAATAATCAAGTCAATAAAATTACAATTAAAATTACAACTGTTGATATATGTATAATTATTTATAATTATTCTGGTTGTCTGAAGATGTTTCAATCTGATGTTTACCTGTGATGGTTTCATGCTCCAGTAAAAAGTTGTCTGCTCGGTGAAGTGTATTTATTAACCATGAATACAGCATTTCATAGAGATACCTAAAAATAAACAACATATCATTTAACATAATTATCTGAAACTAGCTGAATTAAAAAGCAAATAAGTTCAGGAATTCCTCTGGATATATTACTGTATACAAATAAACAACAAATCTTTTTACATAATTGTCTGAAACTTACTGAACAAAAAACAGATAAGTGGATATATTACTGTATAAGAATATGCAAAACATTGAAATAACTTTGATGTATTGGTAAAAAGTATACAAGATGGTGATGTAATATGTATAGTTTCAGATAAAAATCTGGAGGAATTTTTCTGGAGAATGTTTGACTACAAATTCCAACAGATGATTCAAATTAATTTTTTTTTATTTTAAGAAGATGATAGAAAACTTACATGCATGTGACTTACCAAAATATGTAGTGGTATTCATAAGGTGCATACAGCTCAAGTTCAAAGCCTGACAGGAGATAGCTTATCATAGCCTGAAGTGTGTGGTATAGTACCCAATTACCTAGGCAAGCCAAGTGTTGCCTGTTAGGCTCTGTCTTTGTCAGCTGCTGGTGTAGGTATGCATCTACCTTGTCAGCCTACAGATGTACATATTGAAATATTAACCCATATACAGCATGTATGACCACATAATTATTGTCATGATCTAGTACAAGTGTCAGGTACCAAACCAGAGTTTTTCTCTAAACACATATTATAATCCTTGACAGAAACGCAGCTTCATACTAAGAAACATATAATTCAGGTCCCCTGAAAAGATTGTCTCTGTAATATTCTTACATTCATGTATATAAAGATTCAAACTGTATTTTTCTTACATCTTTTTGTTATATTTTCACACTTTATATTTATGAACTGTCTCAAAAAATAGACAGTGTAATAGAACAAGGGAGACAATCAAATAAACACCATATCTCAAACCTCACATTTTAATCAATGTCCAAGTCACAATCATGTTGAAACTATCCATAAACTGGCCACTTCAGTCAATTAATGAAAAATTCCTCAGAATTTTACAGTCAAGATTGGTATTCTCAATACATAAAGGAGCTCTTCTTTGAAGGAGGTGCAACTGTGGGTGCAGGTCACAGGGGAACTTTACATCATTACATCAGAGAAAAGGGACAGTTACTATCTATATTTGTCTCTGTCATTTCAGTACAGAGGCATAAAAATATTGAATTTTTACTTGAGTATACCCATAAATGTTTCTTAATTATGACTTATCTACCTTTGTTTTTTACATCTATCTACTGTAAATCTGACCCAAGCAGTGCACCTGAAACCAGACTACAACTACAACAAACAGCCAAAGACAACAGTAGGTTGTTAAGTTCTATATAGAAACAGTGTGACATCTAGTTGTGTACAGATTACCTCCTCCTGTAGGGCAGACAGGTCCTCCAATAGATGTCCCCACTTGTCACGCTGTCGGGCACGGTTATGACCTGTTGTCTGAATCAGGGTACATATAGGACGCACAGCCTGCATGAACCAGGCATCTACATATGTTTTGGCCTGGGGATTGTTGAACAAGGAAGATCTAAAATAAACAAATTACAAGTACATCTAAATATTAAAACATTGGTAAAAAATAGTAAACCTGAGATTTGAACCAGTCTGTGAACCTGATCAGCTTGGAGGTACATATCTTGACCTGACAATTTCTTAAATACATTTACACTGCACACAATCTTATCAACTCTTTTGTCAGCTGATAAGTCCTGGCACAGACAACTTAAAGTCCAAAAGAGGTACACAGGATGAAAAGTGGCCCCTTGATGCATCTAACCCCATTTGTGGAAAGTCATAGAATATTACTTTTTACATTTCTAATTCATGTTCATAACTTTATGATATTAGTATTGTCCCATTTTGTCCTATTTTATGAACATTTTTGATAAAGAAACTTACTTGGAGCTGAGAGCAGGTGGTGCTATGAAGCCTCTGATGGTTTCCTTGAGAAAGTCAACAATTGAATTCACCCCGAACACACGCTTATTTGGAGGCAAGAGTGTTAACTGAAGAAAGAAAATCAATTCAGTTGATGCAAAATACTGGGATAAAATAAACCAGGAAGTGATACTCTAAACTACAGTTTTCTGAATTTTCTACAACTCAACATAGATATAACACCTACACAAACAAAAAGTCAGATTTCTCACGTGGTGACATATTGACCTAGACAAAACACAAGGTGACATCTTACTGAACTAACCTGTAATACTGACCTAGACAGAACACAAGGTGACGTCTTACTGGACAGAACACAAGGTGACGTCTTACTGAACTTACCTGTAACATTAACCTAGACAGAACACAAGGTGACGTCTTACTGAACTTACCTGTAACATTGACCTAGACAGAACACAAGGTGACGTCTTACTGAACTTACCTGTAACATTAACCTAGACAGAACACAAGGTGACGTCTTACTGAACTTACCTGTAACATTGACCTAGACAGAACACAAGGTGACGTCTTACTGAACTTACCCTGACCTAATACGTCTTTGACCTAGACAAAACACAAGGTGACATCTTACTGAACTAACCTGTAATACTGACCTAGACAGAACACAAGGTGACGTCTTACTGAACTTACCTGTAACATTAACCTAGACAGAACACAAGGTGACGTCTTACTGAACTTACCTGTAACATTGACCTAGACAGAACACAAGGTGAACACGTCTTACCTGAACAGAACACTGTAACATTACTGAACTTGTAACATTAACCTAGACAGAACACAAGGTGACGTCTTACTGAACTTACCTGTAATATTGACCTAGACAGAACACAAGGTGACGTCTTACTGAACTTACCTGTAATATTGACCTAGACAGAACACAAGGTGACGTCTTACTGAACTTACCTGTAATACTGACCTAGACAGAACACAAGGTGACGTCTTACTGAACTTACCTGTAACATTAACCTAGACAGAACACAAGGTGACGTCTTACTGAACTTACCGTAACATTAACCTAGACAGAACACAAGGTGACGTCTTACTGAACTTACCTGTAATATTGACCTAGACAGAACACAAGGTGACGTCTTACTGAACTTACCTGTAATATTGACCTAGACAGAACACAAGGTGATGTCTTACTGAAGTCTTTAAAGGTGTCCTAAAATATAGAAGAAATGTTCAATACATGAAATGAATGCAATGAACATTTATTATATCTGTCATCACCAATCCTTTCACCCCTGTGTGAAATTATCCAAGTGTTATCTAACATAACACATCTGTTGTATACTACTGTCTACCTGAACACAACAAAGTTAACCACCACAAAAACTCTATACACTATATACAACTTACACATCAAAACTGTTTTCATGATGATGTAACACGGACTGATAGGTTTCTCTAGGGTAAACTTAATTCAGACTGTGACTCAACAGATGACCAGCTTCCTTTATGTTCACAAACAACATGTCTGCCTAGCAATCTTAAACTCAGACTTAATATAGATATGACAAAATGTAGAAGGGATCATACCAGCACCGTGTGAAGTGATGTCATTTGTGGAACTGTGGTGACCACCATGAGACGACTAAGAAGGGTTTCCATATAATCCAAAGCAGCCTCACGACTCTTAATGATAGTGTACCTCGGGAATGTGGGTGGTAGCAACCTCTGGTTCACCAGGGGCTCAAACCCCATAATGGTAGGATAGTCTTAAAAAAAACACAAAACATAAAAATTGCAAAACAGTCTTAACAATAACACAAAACCCTACAGTGGTAGGATAGTCTTAACAATAACACAAAACCCTACAGTGGTAGGATAGTCTTAACAATAACACAAAACCCTGCAGTGGTAGGATAGTCTTAACAATAACACAAAACCCTACAGTGGTAGGATAGTCTTAACAATAACACAAAACCCTACAGTGGTAGGATAGTCTTAACAATAACACAAAACCCTGCAGTGGTAGGATAGTCTTAACAATAACACAAAACCCTGCAGTGGTAGGATAGTCTTAACAATAACACAAAACCCTACAGTGGTAGGATAGTCTTAACAATAACACAAAACCCTACAGTGGTAGGATAGTCTTAACAATAACACAAAACCCTACAGTGGTAGGATAGTTTTAACAATAACACAAAACCCTGCGGTGGTAGGATAGTCTTAACAATAACACAAAACCCTGCAGTGGTAGGATAGTTTTAACAATAACACAAAACCCTGCGGTGGTAGGATAGTCTTAACAATAACACAAAACCCTACAGTGGTAGGATAGTCTTAACAATAACACAAAACCCTGCGGTGGTAGGATAGTCTTAACAATAGATCCAAGAGGGATCTTGGCACCCACTACTGTTTGATCTTTATAAGCTCTTTGAAAGTTGGATCTTTCCCCTTCTTTTCACTGCTCTGTTTTTGCTCTTAATGATAAGACATTTGAACATTCCTTTGCAGAAATAGCAATGATAATCTTTACCTGCCAAATCTAAAATGGCCGTCTGTTGGCCATTTTATTTTTCTGGTCTATCCCAAAATCAAACAGTCAAAATCATGACCTTAAGGAACCTATACATAAAATTTGAAAAAGATCTATAGAGTAGTTCTCAAGAAATAGTGATAACAATCTTTCTAAGCCAAAATCTAAGACACTCTCAACGACAAAATAAAACCGTAAAAATGGTAGGATAGTCTGAATGATAAAAAAAAAAAAAACAATAAAACTTCCTAATGCAGATATTCTGAACGATAAATACATGTAGGAGTAACATTGGTTATGAAGTTATTGGTCAGACTGTACAGATGAAACATTACATTCTGAACCCTGAACCTATATATCTACCTTATAAGCAATGTGTTATTTTTTATATATGTATTGTAATAAACTCAAAACAATAAAGAATAATATTTGTTTTAAAAGAAAATATATCATTATATCAATGATAACTTCATCATGGATCCATATGCACCAAACTTTACCATCCATTGAGTGGGTATAACTTAATCCACAATCTTCATGACAATGTACAATTCTTACAGCGACTTTATATATATATTACACAGAGTATCAGAATACCATTTTTACTAAGTTCCCTCTTCTCTGGTTGTACACCAACAGACAGAGTGTCTCGGATTGTAGGAATCAGTTCCTGGAGCTGGACAATCATCTTTTGGGACTGAGGAATTCCTTCACACTGAAAAATACAAACCAGGGATCAGCTGGAAAAAAGTGACACTACTGGATATGTTTGTACAGTTGAGTGGTCACAGAATATACCAGAATTACTGTATGTACACATTACCTGAACACATACATGTGTTGGATAACAGTTCACACAATATACAGAATAACTGCTTGTGTGAATGTTATTTTCAAGTAAGTATAGATGAACAAGGATATACAAGGTGATAGATCTTGTCTACTGAAAGGCCACAACTTGTCAAAACCACTTAAATATTACAAAAACTTTAGAACAACACAAATACACCTGAGCAATCGATGAGAGTTGTCATGACAAAACATAAACAGCTTGATAGACACTTACAACCACTCACTCAAACTGACTCAGATTTCTTACACCGCTGAAGTGAACTAGAATGTATTCCTTTTTTCACTTAGAATGTGAATATGTATGTACATCTTAAAACATAAATTTTAAATACTGTAATAACAGGAATACTGCACAGTAAAATAGAAACAAAATTACACTGATGTATTCTGAACAGGTTTTCAACCAAACACTTAGAATAACACTAACTCATTAACAGGTAAAATCGTGTCGGATGAACACTCTCGTACTTACAGTCAGCACAGCTCGCCCCATTATGAAATCCTCCATCTAAACATACAGAATTGGCCAAGTGGCTTCAACTAAAAGTAGTTTTGATTTTACTTAAAGTTCTATGATACTACTTTCACAGATATGTAGCTGATTTGGAAAGATTTATTTTAGAAGCCAAGGGTGGATATACGACCAGTAGGATTTTGTGTATGTAAAAATCTAAATGTTCATCATAATATGCTACAGCACCAAACTTTGAATTCTAGCTTGAAATTGTTTAGAAACTTTGATGAAAATCTGATTTCTAAAAGTACTCATTCATTACTTATAAGCTTTTCATCCCCAAAAGTCTACTTTTTTTTCCCTGTCTAAAACATAGGTTTAATAATACAACAGTACAACTTACAGTAAGTTTAAAGAAATACCATCTTACCTTCTCCTTACTAAATGATAACAGCATGGCATAGAACAATCGATGGAACTTTACTCTGGAGAACAATGTACTAGTCAGGTAATGCTGAAAATATCATAAAAAACAGATTGAAATATTCCAGATATGAAAATATCAGAAAGAAGAAGCATTATTTCAGAATGAGGACAGTGAGGTACTTACCAGAACACTAAACCATAGACTGATCAGATAAATCAATATGAGAGCTTAGTAAAGGCCTTGATGTGTGCCGGATGACACACATCTTCAAAGTCAATCAGAAACAACTTGTGGACATTTTGGATTTTGGTAGCAATGATATGATTCACATCTGTTTGACCCAGCCTACAGGCTACAATAGCCTTCCTCCACTACCTTTCTGTACAAACATTATATCATTGTTGAATGACATCCACCTGACTGACAAAATCGGTATTTTCTAATTATGAAATCATAACTTCATAAATCTGATCACAAAACTAGTGAATTTTCTGCAAAGAGTACCGATAGACAACTTTTGTTTCTATACAGAGTACTTACCTCCCTTTCTGTCTCCGCATCTCTTTCTTCACCCTGTTTACTTCTTGTGGTCTGTAATGGGAATAATTGATTTATAAATAAGTTTCTTTTAAAGTACATTTACTAGTAATTCATTGTGCTTTTTAATCAAACACCACTAGACATCCACCTACATTTTTTTTCAATTTACAGATATTAAACAAAAAAACATCTTATCCTAAATCTGTAAATCTTTAAAAATTATTCATTCAAAACGACAAAAAACTTCCAAGGAAATATCTATTGCTACTTTTTGCCATTCATAAATTCTTTATTTTTTGCTTTTTTTACGGCCCATCAACACTTGGTCATAAGGAGTTTTGACTTCTACATTTTATCACCATTAAAACCCATGACTATCCTTTAGACCCATTCATCATTGGGATAATTACCTTGAGAGTTCTGTGTAGATCATCCTCCAACTCCTTCATCATACCTGTCACTCGTACATCAGTAACATCTCCTGCCATCTTAAACCCATATGTCATGGTCTGGAAATCTTCCTACAAAGTAAATTTTTTTTTTCAGTCCAGACTGCTCATGTTTTACCTTTAATCTTTTTTAATTAGCACCATCTCATTACTTTTAAATTGTAAGTTAAAATCAAACAAACCTCTTCAAAAACACCAGCTCTGTTGACGCGGTCACGTATGTGATCGACAATTTTCAGTGTACAGAGGCTGAAGGCCTTCAGGCAGCGGTCCTCTATTACATATGGATTGTGTAAGTACAGGTTTGTGAATACAGTCTGCGCCAGGGAATGACCCTCCAGCCAAGTTACCTTAAAACAAAATAACAGAGAAAATAAACCTGAAAATGATTGGCAGGCTGACTTATACTGGTTACTTCTGTAGAAAACAAAGGATAGGACAATCTAATACCTGATCAGTAACAATGTAAACACATGTTTAAAAGACCCAAGTCAACAACAAGTACTATTTATAGAAATAAAGATAAACTATGGATCAAAAACATGAAAACTTCCAAGAAACAGAGTCTAACAGTAATTCAAAACTGGTCATTTGTTAGTATAAAATGTTCATTTCCAAAACAATCATTTCAATCAAAGTAAATATTTGATCACAATTGAAAAAGACTTTTAAAACAGTTTGGATACTGGATGGAATTGGAAGTGCACCAAACTATAAACATAAAAACAGGAAACACAAGAGTATCATAATTAGTTGTAACCAGTGACTAGTTTTTATTTCCTACATTTGTAGAGGAGAAAGTGTAGTTAGAAGCCTGTTACCTTCCTTACTATATATACCTACCATGCATGCCAGTGTTGCATCCATAATACCAATCAGTTCTGGTATACTCAGATCCTTGATCTTCAATTCACCTGACTAAATATTGCCACAAAAAGACAACAAAAACATCAATAATTAATGATGTTACATTTCTATAAAGTACAACTTCAATCATACACTAGACATTTCAGTTATGATTCTTTGAAAACATTAGATGAAATACCACTTCAGTATCATCATATATATATCATACTGCAAAATCATGCATACATGTAATTTCAATCGAATGTAGAGTACATATTTACTTATATTCAAGCATAAGAAAAAAATAGTTTCTTCTCTCACATTGACTCTAATTTAAACTTTTCACTGCCATTCTCAAGAAAGCACTATTCAAATCATGATCATCCTTCTGTATATCTCATATAAACATATTTGAAAAATAAAATACAATTGTTTACTTATTTCCCCTAATCAATTTCTTAAGCATGGAACAAAAAAAACAAAGAGCTAAACACTCCAAACGTTGCCAAATAATGTGATTCAGGGAAACACCACTACATCTGATAGTTACAATACAGTAACCTACAAAGTAAATCTCTGGTTGATGACAAGGTCACATGCACTAAACCTGAGTTGTTTTGCATGGAAAAGGAAAATTTATTACCTCCTTTCACGTCACTATTTTAGCTATAACAAATATAATTGATCAAGCTTACCTCTGTACCTTCTGTAAAATTCAGAACTTTCCTTTGAATTTGATTACACAGCATACCAGCATCCATCTTAGGGTCCATCATTTCTATAGCAGACATGGCTTCAAACAATCCAAATCTGTTGAAATAAACAGTGGTTTCATTACAACAGCAATAAAAAAAAAAAATTAGTATCACCATTAACTTAATACCATTGATTCTAGATAAAGAGGAATGGTACCATATTGTCTTTACCTACTTTCATTTGTTTTCATGCATGGATTTGCATACTTGGTACTTATCTTTTGTAAAATATTGTACTAATGATTGCCTTATAGATACATGTAATGTTTAAACTGCTGCCTGAAAACCTTTAAATAGACCCTACTTTTTCATGTTTATTTTTTTCCCATATTTTTATGGAATTACTGATACTCTGTAATAACTGGTAATAGTAATGAAAAATACAATTCTTACGTGGAGTCATGTAAAAGTTCCCCAAGCTGAAGGTCTGATGCAGCCTCTACAAACTCTGAAGTGATATCTACCCAGTTGTAGGCCGGTCTGTTGTCCATGGCTGGTTCTTCTTTGGTCTCCATGAAGATTTAGTAGCTATAACAGATTATCTGCAAGACCAAAACAATGATTCGATGGAAACCCAAATAGACAAACACATGAATCAGGAATTCACTTCATACCTCCAATCATATCCATGTTAATATCAGTACTTTTATTTCACAGATAAAATGTGTGATTACTATACATCAATTTCTTCGTTCTTAATGGATTATACTTGTTCACAAGTACAGTATATTATGATTATGGACAGTACATGTAATTCATAAACAGATTGTGTACACATTCAATTAACTCAAATGACCTCATAATTTTTGCTGCTGAAGAAAAAAAACTACAAATGAATCAATATTCCTAGAGTTGGTAAAAATTCATAATCATATCATTCATTAAAAAAATTGTTGTTTACTTTTTCTTAACAAATATTTCTACATTCTAAGTATCCTCTGGTTACCAAATAAGATGAAATAAAACTGGTCCATCCTCAGATGTCAGCGATTTGTTCTTGCCATAGATAGAAAAAAGAATCCTTATTGCAACAAACTTTATACCTTTTCTTAAGTGATGTTGGTTTATGAAAAAAAAAATCATGTTATTTAGCTATTTTGTAATTTTCTTGAATAATATGCTTGAACTGCTGATTTTGAAGGTGTTCTTTTAAGAGATATCATATCAGGGAAGCTGTAAGAACATGACTGAGGTGCCTCTTTGATGATAATTTTGCATACTGTTAAGTGCCCTTTTCAAAATTACCATATGCCCTTTTAGCAGCCCTGGTGGAAATGCTGGTCAGCAACAAATATTAAGGAACTCCTCCTCACAAATTTTCTTTACAGATTTGATGCTAGCCCAAACATGAAAATCTTATTATAGAAAATATACCTATTTCAAATGGATCCTTTAATTTCTGTCATTCAATAATTAACTTTATAATGATCATGATATGTTGATCCAAATAGTGAACTGAGAAATCTGACTGAACAATTTGTAGTATGATTTGTTCTCCACACAAGTAATATGGATTGTTAGAGAGACAAATTATTGTGAATAAATATCAGTGGTATCGCATATTTGGTAACCCTTATTAGCAGATTGCTCACTCCAGTGGCCAGAATTATGGGTATTCTGATTGCTTTTTCAGACAAAAATAGTCTTCTTCAATAATAAGAGTTAACTCTTTATAGCGAGCGCTTTATGGTATTGTGTGTGTGTGTGTGATAATTCAACTCCAACAACCTGCCCATACGATCAACTTTAAACGGAAGTGTGGCAGGAACTTCATTACCCACAATACACTTGCCGCAGCATGCAATGAGAACTGCCGACCCGTTGAATGGATTAAAAATTATTTTGACCAACAAAATATCGTTTTAAGCTCTCATGCAGAAATGAAATCATACTAAAAGTCTTAAATAATTCAGATGAATTTAACGTATATAACAAATACCTCGTTGAAAAATTGCAATTTTAAACATTCAAGAATTGAGCCCGATTGTGCTCTGATGTACCTGATTTCCGGTTTAATGTTCAATTTGACGAAAAACTCGCCCATCTCCTCACTATATTAATTTTGCAAGATGAGGATGTTCTTTCGATAACTAATTATGATCATGTATTTGAATGTTTAGAAAATTTCCAGCAAACACTTATAAGGCACAATGATAAAATAACTATAAGTGGTGAATTTATTTAGTTTTTTTTTTTTGGGGGGGGGGGGGGGGGGGGGGGGGGGGGTCCAGAATAATTGTGGCAGTTTATGTAATATATTGTGGCTTTCATAAGAATTTTATTTAAACATATATATTTATATTGATTTTCTTAATTACAATGTATAAAAGAATAGTCTCAACAGGGTTTATAACTTTACCCTCTTTTTGCTACCAGGACAAGTTAAAATTGCTTAAAAAACCGAAGGTTCTGAGGCATTTTATGATTTGTTAATTAACAGAATGAAAACTCTCAATAGCAAAGAGAAAAGAAAACGGCGGGAGAGAACATTGTGATTTTAATAATGAAAACTTGTTAAACATATAAGCACCACCTCTACAAATCCGACTAAAACTATAATATATTGTCTTTCAACATATTTTGAAAAAATCCTTTCTTTTTTTAAAGCAAAGATGATAGAGAGTCCTCTCTGCAATATCTGTAACTCTAAAAGGGGAAACTCTCATGCATTTATTTTGAAGATCTTTTTTATCAATTGTTATAGTCTAGATATGTTGTCAGTGACTTTTTTAATACATTTATTGTTACCATTGAAACCGATGACTCTCATCAAAATTTCAGTTTTTCTGGGCCAATACTCTGACAAGGCAATTGCTCAAAACTGTTTACACTATTAATAAGCTAGTAGTCTCTTTTGCTATGGGGAAGATTGCCATTTAAATACTTTTTCTGTTTTTCTTCAGTGCAAACATGGATCAGGCTGTTCAAATGTGCATCTTCTTGACCAACTTGCGCTAGTTTTTAGACAGTGTCTACTATATATTACACTCTGTTATGTGTAATAGGCCTGGCTAAAAACCCACATTAACATGATGTTGTATTTTAAGTAAACTCCTGATCAGGTTTAGTCAGTACACCGTGATAAATGGTATATGGCAGTCCTATATTCTGTATCAATTTAATAATACGTGTGGATTATTTACATTCGAGACCATTGTCAGCATTAAGTTGAAAGAGAAAATGAACTGTAGATTGGTCACTGAGTATATTCTTAATTCATTATGAAGGTTTAGTTTAGAACAATGAAGATAGATTGAGTGTACGGGATTCAGTTTTTTTTTCATGGAGTAATAATTCTGACATGCGAAGGCACCTAGGCACTAGACACCGACCAATACTGGCAATGGTGCAATTACTGAATTAGCTTACTGTAAATAAGGTCAGATGACAAACAAAACGGAAAGATCTAACTCAACCGATTAATAAATGCACCTTGCAATAAATGAATAGTGAGTAAAAAAAATGTGATAGTGTAGTACTAACAATCAATTTTCAGTCTTGTTTTCAATTCGATCTCCCGTCGGTCATCACTTCTTGTCTGCTGTCCACCATGATGATAGCCAAGAGCTAAATGTCGATGTCGAATGTGATTGGACAAAAAAAACTGATAACATTTCCCGCGGAAATATAAAAGTCAAATCCATGCATGCATGATGGTTAAATGCAATAAAGTTAGTTTCGCAAGCCTAATCATACAAGACCGTTTATTTAACGTTGCATGTGTATAAAAAAGAAAACTGAAACGTCTTTTTATGCCCCCGGCCATGGCCAGGGGCGGGGGGCCATTCATGTCTTACAGACATTTTCTAGTTTACTACAATCATAATTAGAAGCAACAATGATCTTCATCGGATTAAAGTCACTAAGAATAACATGATATTTCGGAACTTAATTCTGCAAATTGTCCTATTTAAGTTATATTATTTTCAAAAAGCAGCGTGAGCAATATTCATAACATCTAAAAATCATTAACGGACTAATTGTAGATATGAGCTACATCTTCAGCGGCATAGTTTATTTGGTTTCCTCAGATACAAATGTGTGGGCAAAATGCATAGCATGAGGCATCATAATGCAATAATGTTATAGTTCAAGGACAAAATGGACGGTAAGTAAACACACATGATGAATTTGTTTTATAAGATGTGACATATTGCATGATAGCTCTTGTGAAATATGTTACCTTATTTTTTCAGATTGTCCAACGAAAACCGGGACAAAATCCTGTTAATATTATATTTTGTAACAACTCGAAAGAGTTTTCACTAATTTCAACCATAGATGGATTTTCTCGGTAATATGAAGGTAAGAACTTCTCTGTCATTCTCACATATGTACATTTAAACATGTAATGGAATTCGTCCCCCACAGAGATGTATATTTTCGATTTTGCTGTTGGACATTGTGTCACCTTTCAGTTTCGACGTGAAAATTTATGTTCAAGCATCTAAATTAAATCAATCTTTTTCCTGAAATGCGACTCAAATATGGTTTGAAGTTCAAGTTCTATCTTATACATTATATAATATTCACTTATAGTACCCTGGCCTGAAAAATGGAGCTCTGTCTAATTTCATCAAAGCATTTATAGAAAAATTTTATCCATTTAAACGTACACAAATTATTTACATTAATTTTGAACATTGATAGGTACATAAGACTGCTAAGCATAGATTAATCCATTAATCATAATACTTTATCATTGTAAGTTTTACAGCTACCTCTAATGGATATCAATCCACTTTTCCTAAAATGATAAAATTTTGGGTGCTTTCAGAAGATAATGTGTACAAATATGTAAGGACCAAGACAGAATTTCAGAATATATATCATCTTTAAAAACACGTCTATATGTATATATATGTATCATATAAAAATACAGATTCAGAATGATTTATGTTTAAAAACTATACACAATATACCACATATAAGGTATTGAGCTGAATATTTATTGTCTGGAAAAATTATATATATATATATATCTATGCGTGTATATATATTATATTTATCATACAAGATTATTTGAATCAGTGTGATATAGTTTGTTTGAATAGATAATAATGTAACACATAAGAGTACTTAATGTACAATGTATTGACATGTAGATTTCACAGGTAACCGAAACTTTTTCCAGACTTGTAATGATACTGTTTTCTTTTGGTTTGATTTTGTTTTTGAGGATAGTTGTTTTTGCTATGATAAAATACTACAGATATTGGTTCGTCAGAGAAGTTATATTGATTCACGGTGTGTGGGAGAGTCTTCATTGTTGGTTGAAAAATAAGTTCACTTTAAACTTGAAAAGTCAAGAATATCTTGAACCAGTGTTGTGGTGGTATATATTTTGTTGGTTAATAAGTAACTTGATCAGAAATAACAATGGATGATAATTTAAAAATTGGCAGCTGCAACTGTCGGGGTTTGTCGTCAGATAAAATAAAACGCAGAGATTTTTTTATTAATTGTAGGAAAAAATATGATATATCTGTACTAACTAATACACATTCTACTAAAGAGATTGAGCAATATTGGGAAAGTGAATGGGGTTATACAAGTAAATTTTGTTCTTTTTCTAGTAATAGCAGGGGTGTTGCCGTTCTTTTTAATGATACATTTCAATTTGAAATTTTAAAGGAGATTAAGGATGTTAATGGTAATTTTCTAATACTTGAAATGAACCTCTTTGATAGGAAAATAACTTTGTTAGCTCTTTATGGCCCAAATGAGGATACTCCTGCTTTTTTGATAATATACACCAAAAGCTTGAAACTTTAGATAATAATCCAATTATAGCCTGTGGAGATTGGAATGTGTGTCTAAGTTATGAACTTGATAACCTTAATTATAAACAAAAAATAATCCTAGAAGTCAAGCTAAAATTCACGAAATGATGTCTTCATTAGATATGTTAGATATATGGAGAGGAGATAACCCTGAAATTAGTTTAAACTTTATTTTTATTTTTTTTTAAAACTGTATAACATTTCAGCAATACAAACAGTATACATAAGGATTCGAAAACAAGTACAAAGTACTTATATTAATCCGTCTCCTGAATTTACGAAGCATCGATCGGACGGCACTGACTAATATTATACATTATATATTGAGCATATTGGTACATAATTAGGGAAATGAAGATATTTGGGAAGAAAGGGGGGAGGGGGTGCAAAGGAGTTGACAGAAAAGCTGAAGGAGTTAAAGAATGAAACAATGCAAATATGCTGCATTATGGAGGGGAACCGAGCTGAAATCAAACTTAAATTTGGACACACATGGTTGACCGTACATGTCAAGTAAATCTATAATACATCAGTGGTAAGTAAACACAATTTTACAAAAACGACCCGTGAGTAATTGGAGAATCAGTACTGTACCACAGTCTACTGTAATCTCACATATTACAAATATCATTACACAAAACTATGACAATACGCATATAAAATTTTACATACGTAATCTACATTGAAATGCCATGCCGAACAAGTGCACTGGCAGTTAGGTATTACTAGGTGCATACTTATAGACATTTGATAAAACTCAAGATGAGAACTTAGAACCGTTTCGACTGGTAGATAAAAAATTGGACACAGTCAAGTACACATGGGACTATCAATTAAGTTACGTATATATAAATGACTGTGCAGAGAGCTGCAGTTCATCCTTAATCGCGCGTGGTGGATTTGGGCGAATCTACTTCTGCAGTAGTAATAATAAGGTGGAACAGGATGACTACCAGCGTTTAAGAACTTTTTGAGGTTAGTAAGAGAAGGGTTTGGCTTTATATCATCGGGAAGTGCATTCCACAGGTCAATAGAGGAGGGGAAGAAAGAATCTTTGTAAAGCTTTGTTCTACAGTTTATTTGACAGAAGTTGTTTGCGTTTCTAGTATTGTGAGAGTGGAGATCAGAATGACGAGCAGGAAGTGTGTTGGTGAGATAGGAGGGGGACTGACCATGGACAATCTTATGAAATTGTACGATCTTGTGATTACTTCTTCGAACTGAAAGAGGGTCCCAGCCAGATTCTTGGTAAATTCAGTCGTGACTAGTTAGCTTAGTAGCACCAGTTACAATTCTAGCCGCTTCAAGCTGTATATTTTCTAATAACTGACTTTGTGCAATCGTTAAATTGTCCCATATTACATCACCATACTCTAAGATGGGTCGAAGGAAAGTAAAATACATTTTTTGTAGAGTCATTCTGTCAATACTGAATTTGAATTTCCTAAGAATACCAAGTTTCTTCGATGCTTTGCTGATTATAGAATGCACATGGTCAGCCCACCCTCCATTATCAGATAAAAAGACGCCAAGGTGCCTATGACAGGAGACTTCTGTTAATAGGATGTTATTCATAGACAAGGAGGGATGAATTGGTTTATTATTTTTCTTACTTACAGTCATTGTTACAGTTTTGTTAGGATTGAAATTGACAAGCCAACTTTTGGACCAATCATGAACCTTTTTTAGGTTATCATTCAAAATGTTAGCACTTAAATCCGGTAAATCCACTATAACGTAGAGAGACGTATCGTCAGCAAATAATTTTACAAAACAATTTATATTTTCGACAATGTCATTAATAAAAATCAAAAACAATAATGGACCTAAGATAGACCCCTGTGGTAACCCGGCAGTAATAGATGCTAAATCAGACATTTTACCGTTAATAACAACTCGTTGAGAACGATTATGCAAATAATTTGTGAACCAAGCCAGTAGATTACCTGTAATTCCAAAGTTTTCGAGTTTAGAAAGAAGACCTCTATGCCACACTCGGTCGAAAGCTTTGCTAATATCGCAGAAAACCATTCTTATTTCTTTACCTTTATCTAAAGCAGAATATATATCATTAGAAATAGATATAAGTTGGTTCACAGTGGAATCACCGGATCTAAAGCCAGACTGATAAGGAGACAATAGAGACTTATCAATTAAATAATTATAAACATATTTGTATACGCATCTTTCCATCATTTTGCCAATAATAGATAATAAAGAAATTGGACGATAGTTGGTTAGTACGGATGCGTCGTCTTTTTTGAACACAGGTGTGACATTAGCCCTCTTCCATAGAGACGGGAACATACAATCAGCAAGAGAGCAGTTGAACAGTGAAAGGAGAGGATAACTAAGAATATCAGCTGCTTCTTTGATTAATCGAGAATTTATAAGATCTGGCCCAACAGCTTTTTTACAGTCAAGATGCTGTATAACATCAAGAACGTCTTTTCGAGATATGATAATGTCAGGAAGTGAATGATTATGGGGTTTATATAGATGAGGGGGGTCAACACCTGTGTCATCAATAGTAGCTTGTGAGGTAAAGTAAGTGTTGAAGGCATTGGCCTTTTCTTGGTCGTCCTGCGTTATGTCATTGTTAATCATGATCGGAGGTATGTTGCTTTTACTACAAGTATTAGACATAAAATGATTAACAATTTTCCACCATTCCTTAGCACTTATATTATCATTATTTTTAAGTTAGTCACAAAGATTGTTAAAATATTTTCTTTTGGAGTTCCGAATAGCATTTACACAATTATTTCAATT